TTTGGTACCGGGGATTGAACTCGGGTCTGTGTACTTGCAAGGCAGGCCACCAAACCGCTGAGATAAATCCCCGGCTGTGGCCATTTTTTAAGTGAATAAGTAAATGAAACAGATCTAACAAAAATCACAAAAAAATCATAATAATTTAAGTGTTGATTAAAATTCAACATACTTATGTATAGGATACATCTGAAGCTATATGATAAAATAATTTAGCTTTAAAAATATATTACAAAAGAATATAAAACCAATTAAGCCTCTAAGAAAACAGAGAACTGAAAACTAAACATAAAGTAATAAATGAAAAAGAAAATCATAAACTAAAATAAATCTATAAAATGAAGAGCTTTGAGAAGCTAATAAAATTGATAAAAATCTGTTGAGACACATCAAGAAATCATATAAATGAGGATCTGTATAATTACAAATCCTAACATTTAGCAATATAATCTGAATATTTTAATTTTATGCCAGTAAATTTGAAAAGTATGTAACATAGACAAATTCCTTTGTGTCAGCATACCTCACAAAGCACAGCTTTAAAAAATAAGAAAAAAATAAAGTCTGAGTAACCTCAAAATTATTGAAGACATGAAATCTGTACTTTTAAATCCTCCCACAAAGAAAACACAAAGACTAGTTTGCTTCACTAAACAATTATACCAAATATTTCAGGAAAAAATAACAATTACACACAATTATTCCAAGAAATAAAAAAATCCTTCTTAGTTTATTGGGACACTCTGACCCTGATAACAAATTCTGCTTAGAGCATTATAAGTAAAATTGTAAGTCAACATCATTCATGGACAAAGAAACAAAGATTCTAAGAAAGTATATTAAACCAAATGCATTTAACTATCTTTCTATCTATCCGATATAAGCAACTGAGATCCATGCGCTTAGCTTCATTTGCTCAACACCAACTAAATCAAAGGAGGCCATTTAATTTGATGAAAAGAATAAAAAGATTTATTCAAAGCTAGCACCAAGGACCTTATTTGCCTCAAATCACCATCTTCTTCTCTATACATGTTTAGGAGTCTTTTATAGCAAGATACAGATAAGGGTACCATGAGACAATACTCACCTTAGGCTTGCTTTATGGCTCCTAACCTTCTTCCTCTTGCTCTCTTCTCTTTCTATGTAATGGAAATGTTCCTGACCTTCTGAAACCAGCATCTGTATATTGTCACTTCATCTGGCCGAGGAGGTGTAGTATATGTGCTCAGCAGAAGGAAGTTTGAAGAATATGGCTTATCTCTAAAAGAAAAAAATTCAAATTTTAATATTCACTTTTGTTGTGCTGGTTACATATTCACCTATATACATACACATGCATACTATAAAAACACATGCACACAAACTTATAATGCATGTTACATATATATATATGTATATAGCTATGATCAATTGAATTTATTCCTGCCAAGAAACATAATTTTAAGAAAAGCAATTTAATTTTCTGTTAATAAGATAATCACATAATTATTAAGTAATGATTAGTAATAATTATTAGTAAGGGAACAAAAAATTTATACAATGATTCATTCTTTATAATTTTTTAAAATCATTATTAAAGTACTGAGTTTTTATTCTTGTCATAAAATTTTCACAAACATAGTAGTTTAAACAATATTTTTATTTTATTGGTAGATACATAATAATTACATTCATTTTGGGGAACTAATATATATATTTTTATGTAATAAAATGTATTTTTGATAATATTGCATTAATAGATAATATCATAAGAGTAGATTTAATAATCTGTTATTTAATATGTTAATATGTTATCTATTAATAGATAATATCATATTGTTACTCATACACTATATGATATATTTTATATATGTATTATTCTATGATATTTTATTTCCATCACTATTTGTGTATATACACTGCATTGTATCTATTTATTTTTATTCATGAGCATATAGGCCAATTCAACAATTTAGCTATTGTGAATATACTACTCTAAACATGGGTGTGCATGTATCACTGATATATGATGACTTTAACTGTTTCTAGAAGATCAAGATAGCTAGAACAACTGGAATTTCAATTTTTGTTTTTTGAGGAATCAGATTTCCATAGTGGCTGTACTAGCTTTATTCCTTTCACCAACGTAGAAGTGCTTCTTATTCTCCACATCTTTACTAGTATTTGTTGCTTTTTGAGTCCTTGATGATAATCATTCTGATTGCAGTAAAATGAAATCTCAGTTTTGCTTTGATTTGCATTTTTCTAGTGGACAAACATGCTGAACATTTTTTCATGTGTTCATTGGCCATTTTTACTTCTGAAAAGTGTCTATTTGTTTCAATTGCCCATTTTTACAGGGTCTTTTGTTTTGGGAGCCTGATGCTGTTGACTTCTTTGTATATTCTAGATATTAGCACTCCATTAGAAAAATAGCTAGAAAAAAAGAAATTTTCCAAGCTACAAACTGTCTCTTCACTCTATTGATTATTTTCTTTGCTTTGCAGAAAGTTTTTAATTTGATATAACACCATTGGTTTATTACTAGAAGTATTTCCTATGGAATAGGGTTGTATTCAGGAAGTCCTTTCCTGTGCCTGTGTGTTCAAATATTTTACCTACTTTATCTTCAAGGAGATTTAGTGTTTCTGTTTTTATATTAAGCCTTTTGATCCATTGTGATCTAATTTTAGAACTAAATGAAAGACATGGGTCTAGATTCATTCTTCTGTATGTAGAAGTCTTCCAGTGCCATATGTTAAAGAGATTATTTTTTTTCTCTAGCACCTGAAACCACAAAATTATTACCTCAGCACTCTGTTGGTTTTAAGTCCAACATAAGTCTCACTGTATTACATCTCAGTGTCTCAGGGTGGTATTACTCCCTGGAGCCTCGGGGGGAAGAAGCCATTTCTTGACTTATTCAGATAGAATTTGACTTGGTTCATGCTACCCTTTCTATATTTTTGAAGCCAGCAAAGTTGCATCTACCTGACTCTTCTTCTCCATGTGTTTCTAACCAACCAAAACTGAGAAAGGCTCTGATTTTAACAAGCCATGTGATTAAACTGCACCAACCTGAAAATTCCAGAGTAACTGCCCCATCTCAAGATCTTTAACATTAGTCACATTTCTTTTGCTGTGAAATATAACATGTTCACAGGCTCTGAGGACGAACACACACTTCTCTGTGGGTCTATTATCTTGATTACACAACTAATAAAGAAGAATGATTTCTTTATACTTATTAAAAATACTTTAAAATCTACACCACCTATTAAATTTAGTATTGAACTAACAGCTCTTTCCCATTGCAATAATGAATAACAGAAATTTGAGTATATTTGCTTCTATATTGAATCCCATTAGTAATGAAGAATCCTCAGGGCTTGATGAGTCAAAAATTATATTAAGACAGGTTTAGCATCCTAATCTGAAAATCTAAAATGTGAAACACTCCAAAAGTGAAAATTTTCAAAGTATAAAAATGTCACATCTAACCTCATATAACTCTTTGCAGTTAAAATTCAGATGCATTTAAAAGATGTTATATACAATTAATATCAGGCCACATTTCTATGGTATATATGAAACATAAATGATTTGGGTTCCATCCTCAAGATATCTCAGTATGTAAATGCAAACATTCCAAAATGTCAGAAAACCCAAAATCTGAAATACTTCTACTGCTAATCACTCAGAAAAAGTATACTGAATCTACAGAAGACTAAGAATAAAAACATTATTTCCTTTCCCATAATTGTAAATAATGCAATTGTTGATGTAAAGCTTCTAAAAAGACAATGAGAAATCTTCTGGACACTTGGTCAATCTTTAATATCAATTTAATTTCTATATATAAGTAACAAATTATTAGAAAATTAAATTAAATCATACTACTCAGAGGGTGAAGGGAGCACAGAGGTATGGGAAAAAAATGAGAACAAAGATCTGTCATGTAAAGGTACAAGATCCCAATGATGAATGTAACTCTACTGTATACTTAAAAAGCAGCAATAACTTAATGAAAAAAATCATACTACTCATTATGATATAAAATGTCAATTACCAAAAAATAAATTCAACAAAAAATTTCCACAGAAATTTTTATACAGAAAATATTGAGAGAAATTCTTAAAAGGTAAAGTAAGTGAAAGTGAAAGTGCCTTCATAGTTGTAAATTAAATATTATAAATGTGTTATGCCTAACATTAATCTATAGAATCAAGACAATCCCAATCAAAATGCCAAGTCTTTCTTTGCAGAATTTTACAACCTGATTTCAAATACAGATAAGATGCACGAGGTCAAGAATAGGGGTGAGAAAAGAAAATCTTAAATGAGAACATATAGGAAAGAATCATTGTACCAGATGTCATAGGTAGTTTTATTATAAAATTATAATCATTACAAGATTATAGATTGGTATTAAGAACAGTAATAGATCAATGGAATAATATAAGTGCATAATTTATAACACTTTTATTTAAAGTTGTAAGTAAATACTTGTTTTTAACAATGGTGGAGAGAGAATATAATATTACTGTGGGAAAAGTTAATTTTAGCCTATTTAAACACAAAAGTAATCCATGGGTGAATAATAGATCCAAATTTTAAAGAAATAAACTGAAAATCTTCTATAAAAGAATGAATACATTCATGAATGTGTAGTAGAGAAATCATTAAAAATAGAAGACCAAAAATGTAAACTTTAAAATTAAAAACTTGTATCCATCAAGAGACACCATTAGAAGAGTAAAAATCAAGGTAGAGTAGAAGTGATTTATAAAAAAACTCATTCCCAGAATATACCCTGAAAGCCTGCTAGCAATAAGAAAAGACAAGTAACCCAAATGAAAAATGGGCAAGGGTCCTGAACAGGCACTTCAAGAAAGCAAATATATTATATTCAGACAACAAATTTTTAAAATATCATTTATGAGTACAAAAATTAAAAACAAAACCACATTATGGTCCACTACTAATCTAACAGAAAAACTAAGACTAAAGTACTGACAATGTCAAATTTGGGGGAAAGCATTTTGGCATTCTCTTAAGAATACAGATAACTCAGATTTGCATGTGTCTTTCATGATTCACCACCTGCACCTTTCCACTGGCCTTTCCTCCTGGGCACACAGCTTGTCTACACATCCCAACCTCTTGCTATGGCCACAGACTAAGCTGTGGCAAGGAAGATTCAGGACTAAGAAGAAGTTACTTCCACATCTTGGCCATGTAATGAACCTTCATAATCCTCCATTATCTTTCCCCTTTTTAACAGCCAGGTAATTATGTCCAAAGTGACCTTAGATATATTGCTGGAGACAGTTTCTCAGAGCACAGGCACATTCCCCCCTTTTCTCTTTAGCAGAATTTATGTGAATCCTACATAGATCTCTACTGTATAAAGCTACTAAGTTTTATTATTAATGCATTAAGGCTACTAGCATTATTGGTGCTGATGCACATGCACATATAAAGAAGGGTGTCATACAGAGAAGTATGTGCACCCATGTTTATAGCGGCACAGTTTGTAATAGCTAAATCTTGGAAACAACCTATTTGCCCATCCGTTGGAAACTGGATAAAGAAGTTGTGGTTTTTCTATAAAATGGAATATTACTCAGCCATAAAGAGCGAGAGAATAGATTCATTCATAGGAAAATGGATACATATTGAAGATATACTCCTAAGTGAAATAAATAAGTCCCACATGTGTAAATACCGAATAGTTTCCCTGGTGTGAATATTCTGCAACAATGCATAAGATTCTAATAAGATTACTGACATTTAGAAATGGGAAGAAAGGAGCTAAAGGTGTAGGGAAGGTGTGATACGTAGGGGAAGAACAAAAAAGGAAAAGAAAAAAATGTGAGAGAATGAAAAGATGAAAATAAAGTGTTTGTAGATGGGGAGGGGAGGAGGGGGTGAAGGGAGGTCAGAGGTAAGGGGAAAAAATGAGAATCAAGACTTGCCATGTAAAGGTACATGATCCCAACAATGAATGTAACTGTACTGTATCCCTAAATGTACCAATAAACTCAATAAAATTAAAAAAAAATCCTTCATGTAAAAAAAGAAGGGTGTCATAAAAGAACAAAATTAAAGAATGGCCAACAAAAGGAGTCATGGCAACAACACTCATGGAGGACATGGCACATGCATGGTACTATATGTTAAGTATTTTTTAATGTGAATTAAGTCACCGAATTCTAACAGCAACCCTATGAGAAGAGATGGGTATTGAGGCTGTGTTACACAGCCAGTAACTGGTGGAGTCAACTTTTGATCCAGATTTGTGGTATCCCCAAATTTTTATTCATGCTATTTGGGATCTTCTTTCAGAATCATGACTCAAACTTACAAACATAAAATATGGTTAGAAGATCCAGAAGAGGTGCCTGTATGTAAGGGAGCCTGAAACTTCTTGTTACCAACTCAGTAGTGAATAGACCTATGGATGGAGCCAGAATAGGTAAGCAGGCATCTGGCTCTGAATCTTGAATTGTGCACCACAACCTTCCCTGTTGCTGTGTACAATTTGCCAAATTTGTAACAGACACAACTGGGGCTCACAATGAAGTAGAATAGAATAATTTCTGTCCTTAGACAATTTGTGCCATTTCTTGGTGTTACATAAGGAAAGTAAACTCCCAGAGGTTGCTGTAGTTTGTTCAAATCAGGCAGCCAACAAACACAAGGAAGTTATTGAACTCAATGAGAACTGAATCCGGAGCTGGCACTTACATGGACTACTCTGTATTTCCTCTTAGCAGGTGAAAGCATGACTGTTGCAGGACACGTGCAGGGATGTTTAACTTGTGCTAAGGAAGTAATGAGTTGTTCACGAAAGGAATCTACTTTCAACTTCATTTTTTAATCAAAACCAGTCTGAGAGAAGTGTGTGCATGTATGTGTGTTTGTGTAAGGGTGCACAAGTGCATCAGCACCAATAATGCTAGTTGCCTTAATGGATTGATAATAAAACTTAGTAGCTTTATACTGTAGAGATTTATGTAGGATTCACATAAAATCTGTTAGAGATAGAGGTGGGAATGTGCCTGTGCTCCGAGAAACTGTCTCCAGCAATATTTCTTTTTCTTTTTTATTTTTATTTATTTTGGCGGGGGACCAAGGATCAAACTCGGGACTTTACGTTTGTGAGGCAGGCGGTGGAACCACTCAGCTAAAAATCCCCAGCCCTCCAGCAATATTTCTAAGGTCACTTTGGGCATAATTACCTGGCTGATAAAAGGGGAAAAGATAATGGAGGATTATGAAGGGTCATTATATAGCCAAGATTTGGAAGTGACTTTTTAGGCCTGGGGGTTCTTTATGAGCACCCTTCTATTTGCAAATGTAGTCTGCATGGAGCTTCTCTGGAATCCTCAATTCTTTCCTTTGTGTGTTTTTTCTTTCATTTTATGAAAAAATTTAAAATTTCATAACAAAATAATAAGAAAATAACTGTAGTTAATACATTTTACATTGTTATCTGCAAAGTAGTTTCTCAGAGTAAAAGATATAAACCAAAAAGTTTCTTGACGTGTTTTCTGTAAGCTTCCTAAGTTGATTACAATCTGGTCTAATCAGCCTCTCTTAGAGCTCTTAAACCTATGAAATTTAGACTTGTTTATTTCCTTCATGGTAACAATTTTTGTTCATATTTTCCTCCAAAGATCTATCTCCTAGACTGAATTTCTCAACAAAACCATTGGCATTAAAATGGAATTATCATCAAATCTGTTCTAAATTACATTCAGATAGTATTGCTATAGGTTATTTAAATTTTTGAAAAGCTATTTAGATTCCATCTTGCTTTTGAAATATTGACCTTTCAAATGAATTCAGTCCCTTGAACTCTGGTACTTCTGTGTCAGCTTGGAACAGTCTTGGGACACATAGAGTGTTGCACAGTGCATTTGCCTCATACCTAATCTCAAGCCAATCATGGTGAAAATAATCATCATTATCTGAAAGCTACAGATATAAAACTTATTCACATCTATAAAAAATTATATTTACAAAATATGTACATTGGTTTACCGAGAACCAGCTATCATGCCTAGCCAAGTAACACATGAAATTAACTAGCATACTGGGCAATGCATGTGTAGTACCTAAGAGTTTCTATGTATTTTCTAGGGTTCTGAGTATCACAACTCCCTGCTGGTTTATAAAATAAAGAACATGTTACCTTCAGTGATTCTCCTATCTCATTGTTCACTGGTATTCTTTTTTTTTAATTTGATATATTTTAATTAATGTAATATATAACATATCATTTCAACATAGAGTCAATATAAAAATCATTAATGGGATTTGCACAGTACAGGATGTATCTTACACTTACACTATATATCAGTTCTAATGAGCACTATGTCACATTGGAAGTGTGCAGAAAAGGCCTGAAGGACAGTTCTGTGCCTTCAAGTAGTGCCCTTCAAAGAGTTCTTTCAATATTTTCCCTCTGTAGACACAATCTAGAGTCTTTGGCTTCTTTCCTTCATAATCTCAGCTAGAATGTCCTTCAAATGGTAATTATTTAAAGAAATGAGAGAATAACAAAGCACAAAAATTAAAACATAAAAAATATTTATGGAGGAGGGTCACTGTCACAAGGCTAAAGTGTCTGACACAAAAGCATTAGTCCTGAGTTCAGGGAATAGAAGCAGAGTAGAAAGGATGTGATCAAACTATAGCTGAAGTTACAAGAAGAAAAAGAAATGATATTCAACTCAAAGGAATTAGGATGGAGGTACAAGAGTACAGTAAGCAGGCAAAGGAACTTTAAGGTACACATACAGAAATTGGAAACATATGCTGAGACTAATTCCGAACGCTGGCCCTGGTAATACATTTGGGCAACTCTTACCACAATAATTTTCTCTCATGTCCAGGAGGATCTCTCTGTATTTTTGACATGCAAAGGATAAGCACATGTCAATTCCCTGGTCATAGATTAAGAGCTAATTTTAAGAAGAGAGACAGCACAATGCCAGTGTTGGCAAGAGTGAGTCTCCCCATATTCCATGGAAAGGAATTTTTGGATCAGAAATCACCTAGACATGGTTTCAGTTCTGTTCAAGTGAATGAAATCCATCCTACAGTATATTCATATGTGCTTCTTGCCATAAGACAAGTGTGACATGAGACTAAATGATCACTTAGAAAGAAATAGATGTATTGGTATCTAAAAATCTAATTTCACCAGGGATTTAGCTCAGTTGTTCCACAGCCTGCCTCACAAGTGCAAGGTCCCGAGTTCGATCCCCAGTACTGAAAAATAAATAAAATAAATAAAAGTCTAATTTGGAAATGCCAGCTATGTAGATGAACTGCCTAGAATTGAAATTTTAGTCTGCTGCAATAGTGAGTGACTTAGGAGCATCTGGAATCATGGGTGTCTATAGAATGTACTACTCTATAGGAAAATAGAAAGAACTCAGCAATCACAAATACCTTCACATTTCTGTCACACCCTCACCCTTACCTCACTATGGCCCCAACTCTCTATCACCCACAACAGTCTGGCTCTTCCCTAGGTCAGAGGCCCTGATCAACACATGACTAAAAATCTCTCTTTAGTGACATCTCCTCTTGAACTTCCACTAAGGTGACCATGCAGATATGCTCTAGAACTATAACTTGAAATATGCTGCTGTTCTAGCTCACTGTCCTTGGAGACAGTAGCTGAAGCTAAGGCTACACACAAAGAGACTGACAGGTATGCAGTCAGGCTAAAGAAAAACACACCTGCAAGCCAGAGAGGAGTCACTTTGAAAAGCTCTGATATTGAGAAAATAAGGAAGGGCATTGCTCCCAGATTCTAACAATATTGTTGAATGTTCACACATTTTTCCATATAAAAACAAACTTCAAGTCAACAAGGAAAGATCGTGAGTAGGAGAGTGATTGAGTGATTCATCTCATAGACTTGCCTGACAGCTCTTCCGCATCCTGATCTGCATATAAGAAGTGTGCTGGCTGGGACACTACTATCCCTGGACATCACCACTAAATCCTCCACTATGTTCACTCTCCAGCTCCTGTTCAGGGCCAGCCCTGCAGCCCTGCTCCTGGTTCTGTGCCTACAGCTGGGGATCAGCACAGCTCAGGAAGACACGTGAGTCAAACCGTTCTCCTTCCTACAGAAAACTCATGCGGAGGGCTCCTCCCCTAACCTAGAAATGGACATGTACCTTTTTGGAAATTTTTAAAGATTCCCAGAATGCTAGTCCCAGGAGCTTTCATGGATCTCTCATGATGGATTCCACACCTCTACTCAAGGAAAATCCATCAATCCCCACACATTTCCTCTGGCTCCTAGGTTACCTGTGGGATAAGGCTTGCCATGAGCACAGAGGCTATAATTAACAGTTAATCTTTCCCCAAGCCAGTGTAGTGACTCACACCTGTAATCTCACCCACCATTCAGGAGGGTAAAGGAGGAAAATCACGAGTCCAAGACCAGCCTGTGCTACATAGTGAGTTGAAGATGGGCTTTAACTATGTTGCAAGTCCCTGTTTCTAAAAACAAAATTAATTATACTTTTCATCTCTGAATTAACTTTTTGTTCAGAGTTCTGTTCCATAAAGTTTACTTTTTCACACTGTACCCCATACAAGAGAAGGTATAGAGGTCTGGGAGTTCAAACAACAGCTTTGCACAGCTTTCATAGGACTCAATGAAAGATGAGACACTCACATCAACACCCCATGTTCTGAGGTTAAGGTAGCCTGCATGAATCTTAGACAATTATTTCCTTTAAGTCAAAAGATGAATATTAGGGCTTCTTATATCCACACTGAGACCTGGGATCACAGGTCCACAAGTCACTGCACTGAGTGTCCTAGTTTGAAGGAAGCAGAAAACCGGGAAAGTAAAATGAAGTAGAAAATGGAAGCAGGGGTCTGGGGAGAAGCAGGGATATTCAGAAAAACCCTCAAGTTTTCTCCCCAGCATTAAGCCTGAGAAGTGAGTTTGTGGACAATGATTATGAACATACGCTATGAGGCCATGGCCAATGTCCTCTCTTGGAGAAAACTGTTCAGGGTTTTGTCAAGCTGGTGTAATAGAGGCAAACAACCTCAGAAACCCTGTGTGGGGGTAGGTGCAGATCCAAATGCTGGCAAAGAACTTAGGGCACTGTACCTTCATTTTTCTTTTTGTTTTTCAGGTTTAAATGTTTTTCAATTAAAAAATGAAATTGTTTAGATTTTAACAAAAATAAATCCACACAAAACATTCAAACCAACCAACATATAATAGTTTGGGGACTCTGATGCTGAGCAGTTGATCCCACCCCCATCATCCCCTCCCTGGCACTGTCCCTCTCCCTCCTGCACCTCTGTTGCCCACCCTCCCCCACAAACTCATCTCTGATCTCTGTGGTCTGCTTTGCTCCCTCCCAAAACAGTCGAAGGGCGATAATACTCAATATGGACGTTCCACAGACAGCAAGCGCAGGTGAAGAAATCACCTTGAAGCTTAATGTTCAGACAGAATTGAGAGAATGTATGGTGGTAAGTAGGGGCCTGGGGGAGTGACCTCAAGACAAATCTGACTTCGAGGCAAGTCTAAGTCCTTATTTATGAATACAATATAATTAAACTCTCACTTTAATAGTGCTCAGTAGACTTAATGAAACATTCTCATATATGTTATATTACATGAGACTCAGAATACTTATGAAAACTTGTGGATGTTGACTTTTTATCTTACAGATGAAGAACTTATGGTCCAGAAAGGTTTAGGGAGGATGAGAAAGATAGAAAGAATAAATGGGAAGTGAGAGAAAACACACAGGTGCTAGAAGAGCGCCAGTAGGAGTTACTCCATGGCTCTGAGCACAGTGCATATAGGATGGAGTTTGGGGCAGGGTTGCTCAGAAGAACACATTGCCACCTCGGGCAGTAGATTAAAGCAGGTGGGTTAAAGAAGGCATGCAGGTTCAGGCGCATCGTTTCCTGTGAACTCTGCAATGAGTCTGATTCCCCTTGCCCTTCCTTTAGTCTTTTGCTCCATCTCTCCAGTAACTGACTTTTGTCCAGGCCTCCCTGGCCCCACAAGGAGCTACATGCTTCTCCTTTGCATAGCTCACAGCTGTCACAGGTTTTCCAATCATGGTGAACCTAAAACTCACCCACCGGTCCCATCAAATGACCGAATCTGATTCAACGAGCTGGGAGAAGCCACAACTTTTAGATCCGTAACAAACTCCCAGGGCATGTGGAATCATATATGTTGTTTTTCATTGGAAGTGAGGTTCACTCATAGTTTTTCCGTTTTGTGTTTTACCATACTCAGAGATGAAAATGTGAAAAATATGTGTATGTTGCATATGATAAATACTTGCAGTAATAATAGTTTTTGGCTGTGATAAATAATGAATTTCCATTTGACTCTTTAAAAAGTGATAGTTGTATAAAGTGTATTCAAGTCATGTCATATAATATTGTAATCATTAAAGTTAAACCTTAGGAGTAATTCTGGTACAATAAAGTACATTGGTCTTTTTGAAATCCGCCTAAGTCCACATAAAAAGAAATAAACCTCTTTAGTCTGAGTCAGTGAATTGCAAACCAGAAAGAACTTGCATATAAGGAAATTTTGCTACCTTTATTCAACCAGTTTTATGTGTAGCTTTCAATAGAAAATGAATGAAGAGCTTTAAACATCTTCACATTTTAAAATTTTTAGGAAAATAGAAATTACTTTTTAGTTTAAAATATCTACCACCTGATTTTCTATCAAACACAATGCTTTTATAACTAATATTTTGATAAATTGAAGGCTTAGACTCATACTCCTCTTAAAAAATAAAGCATAATGGATTATACCTATAATATGTACTTTAATATAAATAGTTATAATACTTTAAAGCTTAAAAAAACTTGTGGTTTGACACAGTGCTTAAGCATTTTGTAAAATGGACTATTTTATGGGTCTCATAAAGCCTTTGGAACCTCTCAGGAAAAAATTGCCTTTAAATGCAAAAATTGTGTTAGATTATTTATGAAACTAAAGATTGATAAAAGTACATAAAATAAATATTATTGTGAAATAATAGTATGTGTTTATTGATGCACTGGTTGGAAAAGCAATACTTCTAAACTACAAACAAGTTACGTTTCATCTTATGAAGGCATTATCTGTGATGGCTGCTGTTGCTCAGTTTGAGGAAACAAGTACAGTAAACTGTCCTAGCCTTTGACACATCTGGCATCTGACAGTCTGGACATACAATGGACTCTGGATGTTTAATTTAAACTGTGCAAATATTGAAAGTTCTGGCTCATGGTGATATCTTCTTGCAAATACAATAAAGAGATAAACAATACAAGGATAATTTGTTCCAAACTCCAGAGCTCTCTGCAGGGCATTCTGAGTAACACCCAGTGATGAGAGTGCTAGGATTTCCTGCAGGGCTAAGGGATACTCAGTGCAAAATTTCCAAGTAACTGAGCAACCTTCTGGGATGGGCAAACGGCAGGCAGCCTCAGCCTTGCAAACCTAGCCACAGGCAATAGCCTCTTTATTTTTTTTTTTATTAGTGCATGTTTGTAGTATATAATGTTTACATGCTTGGTGAGTAGTTAATACCTGTACATTATACATCTTAATTCCTTTTTTCATCCCCTTTCCTTTCCTTCCCAACCCTTCTGTCTCTTGATTCATTTTCATTTTTTGAGATATTTGAATCTGTAAAATGTCATGAACCATTTCCTTATTCCTTGTTATAAAATTACGTGTAGGGTTCATGTTACTGTATTTTGTTAATGCCTTTCACCAAAAACAAAGGCTAAATATCTGCAAAGGCTTAGAAAAATGAAGATGCTTTTTTTTCATCTATATATGCAGAGTTCATGAATTTATTCGCTAAGCCCTCTAGGTTGACAGACCACATGATAAAACCCCTGTGTTAACACTAACTAAACATTGAAGTTAATACATACTAACAATAACCTGAGATCTTAAATTGCCAGGCACTCTTCAAGTTAATAAATCAAAAAGAAGTAAAGAAAGGAAGGAAGGAAGGAAGAGGAGAGGAGAGGGGAGGGAGGAAAGAAGAGAGGAAGGAAGGGAGGAAGGAAGGGAGGGAGGGAAGGAGGGAGGGAGGGAAGAATTTCCTCTCCAGGTTTCCTCAATTTATCTAACAGCCAGTTTTGAGAGGTAAATGTTCTCACAGTGGAGACAAATGGCAGTGAGAGGAGAAACTTCAAGCACTGATAATTACAAAGTTACAACAGAGCACAGTGGGGCTTGACCAACCAGACAAGAAGACCTGACCTTGGTGTCTACACCCAAGTAGCTAGGCTGCCTTTTCAGCAGGTCACAGATTTTTAAAAAAAATACGCAGGCCAATTGTTATAGTATGAGACTGCAGCTGTGTACAGGATAAAAATGTTTACTCAGAGATGAGACTTAGTTCAATCACCAAGAGGACCCAGACAGGCTAATTATAATGTCTCAGGAAAACAGCAGCAAGATGAGACCTCTGCAGTTACTTATTTATAACTCAAGGACATGAGAACAAAGATAAAGAATAGTATTTGCAATATAATGTAAAGGAGGTATTACCACAGGACAGGGCCAGAATGGGATGGTTTGTTTCATGACACATGTCAATCTAATTTAAACAATTTTATCTTGAAGAGGGACACAATCGCCAAAGCAAATATCTCTGAGAACAAACTGCTTTTAATTCTGCTGAGAGTTGTCCTGCAGATTCTGCTCTAAATTCTAACCATGCATTCCAAGAGCATGTTAACTATTGTTCCTGAGGTTCCTTCATTAGCACACTCAGAGTCAATCACTCTTTGGGCCAGTCTCCCCACAAACGATGCCCAGAATTCCACTGATAACTAAGTATAGCCTATTCCTTGATGGGCTGTTACCCCAGGATGAAGCCTGTGGATTCAGTTGCATCTTTCGGTCCCCTACTGAGTCACATTCCCAGACTTCAGGTAGGAGTTAGAAAACAAGAGGCAAAAGGGGCCGGGATTTAGCTCAGCAGTTCGGTGGCCTGCCTTGCAAGTGCAAGGACCTGAGTTCAATCCCTTAAAAAAAAAAAAAAAAAAAAAAAAAAGAAAGAAAGAAAAGAAGAGGCAAAAGAACCTGATACTGATTAGCTCCTGCAGTGACACTAAGAGTATGGGCTCCTGTGGCCCACCTCCAGCTTCTTCATCTCTTGTCTTTCCTCCCTTTCCCATTTGCCAGACTAACACTGATTCCTCTCTCCTCAACAGATTAAAACTTACCTCATAAGCAGTACGCCAATTGATGGTGCCTTCAACTATAAATATACTTCTTGCCTCTGTGATGATTATCCAAGAAACTTCTACTGGGACTTTCAGATCAACAGTGAGTACAGGCATTGCCCACTGGGGAGGGGAAAGCAGAAACAGAACTGTCACATTAAAAAGCTGAGGGTGAGTAGGGAAGAACAACCTGGGGAGGTGAAAGGTATCAAAAGGGAAGCACTGCATGAGAAAAGCTAAGAAAGGTGATCAATTTGCAAAGGATTTGGGAGAACTGAGCCTCAATACATAGGTACCTAATCCCACCAAAAAATACAGGACCCTGAAGAGTCTGTGAGGTGATCTTTGTGCTCATCTTTTCCAGGGACTGTAAAAATCGCAGCAGTGGTTGACATTGTCAGGGAGCTGAATATCTGCCCTGAAGATAAAGCAGTGGTACCTATCTGGACAAATCGGGTTTATGCTTTACATACCCTGTACATATATTAATGGAAACTCTTGTGTGTCTCACAATACCCATGTAGTTTCCTCTAGGTAAGCATGGCTGGAGAATCTCTCTGAGAGATTAAAATAAACTTCTCACAAGCTTCCTGTATTTTGTTCAATTTCTCCCCAAAATGTATCCTCAAAACCCTACTAGTACATCAAATTTCTATAATGATGAATCTTTTCCTGAAAACAGTTACTGCTGACACTTGCTTTCTAATCTCCATAAGGCAATACACTTCATGTTCAATGCTTATAGAAGTCTGTGAGAGGAAGCAACAAAAATGTGAATTTAGAGAGACTAACTCTGTGGTGGCAAATGTCCACCAGATACAAATATAAATCTAGGAGGTTTCTGCAAAGGCAGTCAGGCACATCTAGGTAGTTATGTGATCGTGAATAACAATGGGCAGGTATGAACTGTTCAGCGCCTGAAAAACTCATATAGCTATTTCTAAAAATGCCATCCCACTGATAAAGACAGTCCTGAACTTAAGAAAAAAAAAAAAGTACAATATTTTCCACTGAACCCATGAAATCGGGTCTTTCCACATCATAACTTATGAAACATAAGAATTAAGTGCTAAAGAAACAAAAGTGGAGCTGAAATAAGAGACCACCACCTCAAGGTTCACCATTCAGAAGTAAGGATAGAATCTTCTCCCAGCTGTGCCTATCTTGATCTCATCACTGGGAGTCTGCAGTCCAGTCAGAGAGGAATGTGGAAAAAGTTCTGGATTTTCTCCCATGATTGCAGATATATATGTGCATACAAGTGCATGTGTATTTTTAAAATACTATTCAAGACTAAAAGAGGCAGATTTTTTTTCCTTTTTATGTGTCTCAGCAGTAGAAAGACTTTGTAATAACTAAGCAGCTCCTTCCATTGATTCCTCAGGCTGCCGCTGACACTTTGAGGCATTATGCTCACTATATCATCACAATAACACAAGTCTATTTTTCTCCTTGTGCCAAAACATGGGGACAGAGAGTTTGCCTGCTCTATATCCAGTTCAAGTCAAATGTCAAGAGGCTTATGGAGGACACTTAGACAGGAGACTATATGTATTCCTTCCTCTGCAAGTGGAACAAGTATAGAACAGAACAAGGAATTGAAAAAGCAAGCAAACAAACAAAAACTAATTTAAAAAATCTAGTGTGACACTAATCATGATTTCTAATTCTTCTGTCTCTTTCTCTGAGAGATGTGAACCTTTCCTTCTAAGCTTAATATTGCTGGAAAGTCTACCAAGTAGCATAAATGTGGCTTACATAAAACTTATCTCACCATTCTATGTATCTTAACCCAGTCTTGTATCTATTTTATTTTACTGTGCCATGCCTGTCATATAAGGCCTCAGCCCCCATAAAATTCTATAACTGAAATATCTGTCTTGCTCCATCTTTTGAACTATTCAATCTATCATTGATAGACCTATGTTCCATGACATTTCAAATATAAATACACTTTAATTCTTAACAACTGTTCTTTTACCCTGTAACCCATTTTATACAGATAGTACAATTAGAAGCCATAGGATCACCTCCACTCACCTGTACCTGGGAATACCCCAGAGCCAATCCCACTACATATATGTCCCACTACATATAGACAGAAACAACAATAACAAAGACCTGAGGAAATTTCAAAATTCCTAAACCAGGATACATGGGTGGCTCCCCTGCTGACATTGTCTACAATGGCCTTTCCTCACTTGGACTTCATTAAAGGTTCACATATGTGGGCTGCATTTCATGCATCTTACTATAACAGAGTGAATTATGGGAAAGGGTACGTGCAGTTGAAGGAATCCAACAGTGCCATTCTAGGCTGAACAGATCATGTTAAACCCCTTCCTCCACTATGCTTCTACACCTGCTAAAGATGTCTGATCATGATAAGGCCCAGTGTGCACACCTATAACCCATAACTCCCATCATTATTCAGGCTTGTTCTTTACAAGCAACCAATACATTCTCAAGCCTTGTCCCTGATTGCTAGCCACAACTCCTTCTCACTGAGAGTTCAGTGAGAAGTCTTCAAAGTCTCATTTTGACCTTTCCCTTTCATAGTCCTCTTTAATCCCCATCACCTTATAAAAGACCTGATAGCCTGTACAAGCATACCAGGTCTAATCTTAGTATCAGGGCAATCCCCCTCAGATTTATTCCAAAATAAACCTGTCCTGTTAAGCTCATGCTATTGCTTCTTTTCCTTTTTTCTTAACAGTAAAGTCTTTTTCAGGGAGAAAATGTGCTCTGAGTCTCAAAAACTGACCTCAGCTAACTCATAGAATAAAACCTATACACTACAAGCAATAGAACCCAACCAAAATATACGATCATGACAGAACCAATTTACTCATAAGAGGAAATAAACTCTGCTGACTAACAAAAGAAGAAGAATGAAAAGAATAGGAAAGGGAAGTAACTAATAAAATAATCAATTTGAGATTATTAGCATGGGTTTCTAAAAGAACAGAAAGGACTGTTGCCTCCATTATAAGCACTATAATTTGTGCTATGGTTTGAACATGATTTAAATGTGTTCCTTAAGGTTCATGTTCTAGAAGGTTGGTCCCCATTGCGATGATGTAAGAATGGTAGTGATGTGGGATATAAGAAATAAAAATAGGTACAAATGATACTGGTAAATTATAATTTTTAAATTTAACTTTAAAAAGAAACAAATTTTTCCCTTGTTTGTTGCTTCTAAATTTTTAAGTCTCAAAAAATGTAATAGAATGTCCTCTTGCCTTTAAGTTTCCACCTGGGAATGGGCCAAGCTGTAGAAAAGATCATACCTTTCTATTATAAATTGAACCTGCCCTTTGTATAGACTCAGAAATCCCAAGGATTTCCACCCTGAAAACCATATACACATCCCCAGCCCCAGACCATATGCACCTCCCTTGAATGCTCATCCTCCATTCTCCCTGAGTGTATACTTCTTTAATTCTGCCTTAATAAACCATTCTGACTCTCAACGAAGTATTCTCTAATTATTTTCTGTGATATAAGTCAGTGATCTTAACCCTGTTCTGTAGGTGAGTTGAGGTTTCCACCCGTTCCTTGCAGAATCTCCTCAGACTCTATCTAGAGGCACTGCAAAAGAAGAGAGGCCTAGCAGAAGATGGTATAAGACATTGGGTTATCACCGAAAGAAGGAACTAAGAAAGTAATTAAAGAACCCAGAGAGTTCCTATGAGAGAAAGTTGTTATACAGAAAAAAGCAAGACTGGTCCATCATTACTGAACTTCCTTCTCAATGTATGATCTCCCCCTCTTGCACAAGCTTCTGCCATGTTGCTAGCTGCCATATTGTGGTAAAGCCTGGGAAGGTCCTCACCAGAGCTGGTTTATGCTCTTTAGAATTTCAGCTTTCAAAACTGTGGGTTCAGTAAACTTATTTCTTAGTATATTACCCAGGTTCAGTATTTCATTACAGCAACAGAAAATTGATGAATACACTCTGAATTGAAATTTCCATTACAGAGTCTCGGGCCCAGCTGAAAGCATCAATGCTTCTGCAAAGGTCTGCTGGGCTCTGGCCCTCTCACCAAGAGAGGGTGAGGGCAAGGTCAGGATTGTGGGCATGTGTCTATCTTCCCATGTTCTCCTTTTACAGTCCCCACTGGGACTCCCCTACTTATTTTGGTTGGTTCCTAGTGCTACTTTTACAAATAAACTTTGTAGAACTGATTAGATTACTTTATTTAATGTGAGTTTATGCCTTTTTGTCTCAATCTTCCAGTACAGGTATATTGTGGACAACAGAAAAGCAGTCTAATAAAACCCTAGACAGAGAAAAAAAAGAAAGAAACAAATTTCCAGAAGATCATGTCTATGTCCAGGGTACTAATGGCTAGGAAGCAGGAGAGGCTATATGTAAGTGGGTAAATGGAACATAAGTCCACACATATTGGACAACATGGAAAGGCCAGATGAATGCCATTTCCTCCTACAGCACAGCAGGACAACTGAAGAGCCACTAAAGTAAAACCTATTTCTCAATGGGGACCAAAATAGCAGAATTTGAGTCTCTTGCACATGGAAAAAGAAAAAGGTAGAATAACACCATTTAAAAAGATACCATAGGTACAAAATTCAGAAAGGCCTGGCTTCCATCAAGGTAGGGCTTGAGGCAAAGGCAAATATACAATAAGCTTACTTGGCTTAGTGATGCCAGCATGGAAATAAGCCAGATACTTCTATTTCCAGATACCCATGTATTGGCTCTGCCTGTTTTGAGAACATGCACACAGACCCTCAGGAATTAGTCAAACTGAAGCTCAGACAATTGGATTGGCTGTGGCCAAATGTACTTATCTGTAGATATTGGTAAATGTGCATTGCTTCCCTGCCCCATGGGGTTATGGGGAAGCTGTTTAGGAACTTGAGACTGGCAGGCCTAACAACCAAATTTTTGGTAGAGAAATGCCACTGTCCAGCTTCTCTAGTACAGTTCCTCCAGTGTTTAGTACACACAGCCACCACCAACTCCTACACACAGATTACTGTTTTGCTTTTTGTTTCTAATGGCTCCCCCGTGCTCTAGCTCTGCTAAAACTCTCCAGTGATTGCTGTAGGATGAGACAGAAGTGGGTCTCTGAAAAAGTGTCCTAGAGAGATGAGGAAGCTGGACATCCACTTCTAATTGTCCTTTCCTACTGTAGAAACCACTGACCTTGGGTTAACCTTGTACCACCTCAGGATAGATGTAACACTGTCAAAATGAAACTTATCCTCCTACATCTAAAATGTGGCTTTTCTCAGTTCTGTGGTCCTTAAGGATGTTCCAGCCTCACTCTGGAGCCCTGAGATACGTTCCAAGGTAACCTTGTTTATGAGTAGTTGTAGCTAGATTTCTGTTAGGCTGACTGGGGCCAAAGAATTTTTCTTCCTCGTTCTTCAAGATCATATAACTTCTTTCTCATTTCAGACAACTGCTTTCCCATCACTTCACAATAGCTCCCCAGCTGAGACCTCTTTGACACTCACTTTCACAAGCAAATTTCTTTATTTT